ATAGCAAAGTGAGTAGTGAAGCACAGTCACTTGCAAATACATCCTCTGGGAAGAGTCTGACTTACACAGCAGAGGTTCGCACTTGGTAGAGAAGTAAGCATGTTATTGTGTTACTGGCCTTGGCTACACTGGCGCTGTACAGCGCTGCAACTTGCTGCGCTCAGGGGTGTAAAAACACCCCCCCCCCGAGCGCAAGTGCTGCGCTGCAAAGCGCCAGTGTAATCAGTGCCTGCAGCGCCGCATGCTCGCTCGCAGCGCTGCAAGCTACTCCCCTCAGAGAGGTGGAGTACTTGCTCTCTCGCAGCGCTGTGAATCCCCAACTGTAGCCAAGGCCACTGTGTGTATATACTCTAACTAGGGTTAGTTTAGGGCATGCAGCCAACACAGGTGACTACAGATTAGCACTGATGCATGTTAGTGGAGTTTAAAAAAATAATGGTCCTGAAGATCACATTAAATGGATTCCTAATGACATATACATCAAAATAGTTTCAGACATTAGAGGGGAGATGGCTTATTGACAAACAGCTTTAGCTCTAAACTAATGAAATGTGTAACTCAACCCATCTGGGACAAGTAGAAAGCAGGGAGGATAATACCCTGGGGCCAAGGTTTTCAGATGTATAGGATGCTGGTGACCAGCACGTCTGAAGATCAGGTCACTTCAGTGTGTTCTTGAGTGCTCAAAGGTGCAGCACTGGGATGGATGTGTTCCAGCAGTTACTGCTGATACGCTGGTTGTGATCATACCAGAGCAACCCCAAAAGGAGAGCCATGTTTGCGAAGGCAGGTATTGGTAACACCACCAAACATTTCACTTTTCAATAAAACTACAGGAATCCCAGGGCCATGAAGCAAAAAGCAGCAGGTGGAAGAGGAAAAATTCTCCCCACCATTTCTCAGCAATCAAACAGTAAAGTTCAGCAGCAGATGAGGCTGATTGCGATGATACCCCTCTAAGTAATTCCAACAGACCCCTTCCCCTGTTCTTCACAGCAACAGGTGAATAGCAGGGAGTTTGTCAGGAGAAGTAATACAGGACAGCTCCTGTAGATGGCCCATACATACCCTCTCTCCCGAGATATTTCCACCCATGACTAGCCCAAGAATTTTCTGAGAGATTTAATGAAGGATTTTGTCCCATTAGGTTAGTAGCTAAAAGGGCACCTCCAGCATCTTAGCCTTGACAGCCTGACCAACCCCACAGTACATTGGTCTTACTTAGCTTGAAGTTTGAGGCCACTTTCAGCAGGAGGCTGCAGCACCACTGCATCTTTGAGAAGCACTCCCTAAACAGGGCTAGTCACTACAGCCTGGAGCTCTGGGACTCTCCTGACCAGCGCTGTCACAAGGAATGCAGCCTTCAGAGCCAGGGACAGAACATTCTCCTTGGGATTGAAATAGACACCAGAAGTTTGCCTAGGATGAGGGAGAAGCCTTTCAAGGGCATTGGGAACACAGAGGCGGGATCTTAAATGGCCCCTTTCAAATGCTGTGAGGCAAGCATGGAAAAACTGAAACTTCTTCCCCTGGAATACAATATGCCAGTCACTGAGAGATTAACTTTAAGGGAAGTTACTGAGCAGCCCTATTGCCTTACAGTTCATAGAGCCCAGGACAGGTGCTGACACAAAGAGATGGTCTATTTCTATCTGTGCTGCCCAAATAGAAAACTTTCCCCTTGCTGCTACACAGGATTTTCCTACCCACGGTTTCCAATTCTCTAGTAGTATCTGCCAGACCTCCTGTACTACTAACTTAGCAAAGTAGAACCGTCATGCTGGGTTAGAATCCAGGAAAGAGGGAGGTAGATGCGATTCTGCATGGCAGTAAAGCCAAAGCTCCCTGTAGCCCACAGCCACACTTGGTGACTGATGAATGTGGGGTAATTTTTTTTTTTTTTTTTTTTTAATTTTCTATGCACACACCAGTTTCTCTCTGGACTTTATAGTGCTATGCACTAAGTGCAAAGGGAAGGGACCAGGTCTGGAGATAACCACCATTAAATTGAATAAAGGCTACACCTGTGAACAGGAGGATGCAGAACACACAAAGGAAACCCCACCTAGCCACCACCATTCTCCCCACTTCCACTGGGTGGCAAACTGGCCCCATGCTGGAGAGGAAAGGGGAAAGGCACCACATGGCTGTGCTCTCCCCTGGGATGGGAACAAAGAACAGGGAGAGAAAGAAGCAGAGATGGTTCCTAGAGCACCATGACTCAGGGACCCCTGATGCTCGCATCTAAACTCTGTCTTAATCTTTGCTTCTTGATGCTGACCTCTGGGCTTTCAGATGCGGTATGCCAGGGGATGGCTTGATGTTGCTGCAAATATCAAAGCACTGCTCCCTCCAGGGGTGAAGAACAAGTCTCTCACAGGGGCCTAGCTTGGCTGGGGTTGGTGCAGGAAGCCACACAGAAAAATATGGATCCCTGGCCCCCAAAGGCCATTTCGGAGTCACGGAGGCTATGGGCCTTTCCCTGGGGAACTGTTTGGATCCTGGGGAGTTACCCCTTCAGCCCCCAAGGAGCTGGTTACACTCTGGGGCAGACACCAAACCTTGTAGATCCATGACTGTGACAAGCTGAAGCTGGGATTTTGAAGGAGAGCCAAAGCTGGTCACAACTCCAAATCCACCTGAAGCTCTTGGGGCCTCCTCCCTCAGCATGGATGAGATTAGAGGCTGATCATTGCATACTCAAGGTGTAAATTTAGGGCGGATTTAGCACTAGCTAAGCAAACAGGCTTCACTCAAGCCTCTAAAGGCACTGGGTCTGTGGGACAGATTGGAAATCTAAGGTTAGAAAATGGGCAGTCTTTAAACTTTTGCCAGAGCCTCCATCCTTGGAAGAAGGTTGGTATCAGGCGAAATAGTTCTTGGAACCAAAATCCCTAACAAAGAAATACAAATCAACACTAAATAGAGTTTATCTATTTACAGTGGAACTAGGCATAGCTGGAGGGGGAAGCAAACTGGACCTTTTGGTTAGAGGCTGAGGGAGGAGGAGGAGTTCTGATGTATGTATATGCATCCTTAGTTCCTTCCAATAGGCCCTGTTCCTTTCCATGGCACAACAGAAAGCCTGCATTAATGGGCTGGAGAATTCTGGCTTGGTGTGGAGTGTGTAGATACAGGTCAGGAGTGGTGATCTGTATTAACAATACTTGAAAGAATCCCAAGCTTCTCACTGGAGTGCTTTCCATAAACCCTAATGAGGGCTCCCCACCAGCTTTCATGTAGTCTCTACCTAGTAGGTGTATTTTTGTCTGTTAGCCCAAGTTATACTTATTTTTACACTGAGTACTTGTGGCACCTTAGAGACTAACAAATTTATTGGGGTATAAGCTTTTGTGGGCTTAAACCCACTTCATCAGAAGCATGGAGTGGAAAATACAGTAGGAACACACACACAAAAAGATGGGGGTTGCCAACTTTTCATTTACTCTGTATATATATCTTCCTACTGTATTTTCCACTCCATGCCTCTGATGAAGTGGGTTTTAGCCCACGAAAGCTTATGCCAAAATAAATTTGTTAGTCTAAAGTGCCACAAGTACTCCTCGTTGTTTTTGCTGATACAGACTAACACGGCTACCACTCTGAAAGCTGTCATTTCTACACTATATTTCTCTTCCTTTTTTAGTATTTAGACCTTTCAAATATTTCCAAGTAGCTATCTTATTCCCCTCCCTTCCCATAGTTTGTGGCAAACAATGTTCCTTCTTTCAGTCTTCTTTCACAAATCAATAACCACAAAACCTTATTCCTCCAGTTTGACCCAGAGGCTACATCTACACTTGGAGCTGAGTTTGCAACGCCCAACTCACATAGTTATACTCAAGCTAGCATGCTAAAAATAGCACAGCCAGGATAGAAGAGGTGACTGTTCAAACTAGCTGCTCTGAAGATGTCCCCACCAGGATCTCCTGGCTATGTATTTGGGCAGCCTGTGCTGCCCTGGTACACTGCTATTTTAAGTGCACTAGCTTGAGTAGAGCCACTGTGGGTACATCTACGAAGCTGAGAATCACACACCCAGCTCAGAGTGTAGACAGTCACAAGGTTGGCACAAAAAGCTCTACAGGGTACTCCAGAAGGAATGTGGTCTTTCAATTTTGTATCACCCAAGCAGAAGTTTGGGTTTCATATTAAGGAGCGGCCCTTGGAACTCAAGATGCTAAAACACACCGACTGGAGCCCAGCGGACTGGCATGGCAGTTGTGTAAGGCGGGGGGACCAGGCCTTGTTTTTTGGTAAATTAGAGTGAGCAGATGCAATTACAGAGTCTTACCAAAATGTGCATTTCTAATGCTAATTATAAACAACTCCAGATTGTAAGTTTTTTTTTTTAAAAAGCAATGGCAAAAACCAAATACAGTGAATAATTCTCCAACTTCTGACCACCAAAAGTTTAAGCAGCATATACTCCGCTGTCCTCACCATTTTAAAAACAAGCACCATAGGTGAGAGAGAGGAGAAGGGAAGCAGTAAAAAGCAGGCTGTCTGTCTCACACAGTTTATTTAACAATATGTAATAAGAAATCAATTTTAACAGTCTATACAGTGATCGAAAGTTCATATTTATAAGTAATCAACTTTAATTGCATGATTTACAACATTTGAGGGTTTTTTGCTTTCTATTTTCAAGTTTTACAGAAAGTGGAAGAGGGTGGGGAAAGGGGAGAGAGAGAAAGCAAGCATAAAGAAGAAACCCCAGGGATTTTTCTCAGGTTAAAATCATCCTCTCGGAATTGTTTCTTACCCTCTTTTTTATTTTTTTCCTTTGTTAGATGTAAAAATAACAAAAAAAAATTCTTTCAAGAAAACAGAAACCACAATATATATACTACATCCATTTGGCAGCTGCCCCTGTGTATTTGCAAAAATGTTGTCTTCTCTACATGTACAAATTATTTTAATACTTGAAGTTTTTTTAAGCTCAGACTCTTGTATAGAAAATTCTTGGAGGACAAAAGTAGACTTCAGGAGGGGATGGGTTATTTAATATTTTTACATTTTTTCAAAGAATTGACATCTTTCCAACCAAAGAGGAAAAAACTGGTATTTATTTTTAATATATATTTATATATATGTAATGTATTTTTAAAGCAACATTAACCCCTTTTGTCCTCCGGTTTTAGGAAATGTTCTCCTGTGGGTTTTTTGCAATGATGTGAGGAAAAACCAGAATAGGGAAAATGTTAACCATCTGCCTCAGTAAATAATAACTATCAATATTACATATTTTCATTAATTTAAAAAAAATAAAACCTATTGGAGGCATGAGAAGGGGGCCAATTTGGTCAGTGGCCAAAAGACCACCCTTTTCCCCTCCACCTCCCAACGCACGCATGCGAGGAAAAACAAGAAAAAGGACTGGTTATGATTCCAGCCATAACAAAAATATATTCTTTGTATTCTATTGTCCCTCAGGTTCATTTTGTTGGTTTCTTGTTTTTAAAACCACAAATTACTGCTGCAGAGTTCGGATGTGTTCCAGGGAAAAATGTTGTTTTAGCTAAGAAAGATTCAAAAAAATTTGTCTTCAGTACAAAAAGTCTTGAGAAAATAAGTTTTTTTTTTGCTCCCAAAATGCTACAATGTGTCTAGTGTATGTCTAGTGTACTCTGTGAAAGGTTTGAATTCAAGTCTGAGTTATCGGAGCTGAGCCCCAGTTCCGTGGCGCTTGTACCATGGAGGCCTGCCATGCCTGGATTGCCAGCAAGCTGAGAAAGCATTGCACTCTGGTCCGGGCTGGCAAAGTGCCCCTGATCCATGGGGTTAGCCTGGGCAGCTACCAGTCCTGGATGTGGGGAGCTGGTCTGCGGAGAGACATGGTGTGGAGAAGGTTGAGGTTGCATCCGAGGGGAAGGGCTGGAATGGGGGGGCTGGGACTGGGGTCGTGGTGAGGGTACAGGCTGTGGAGAACGCACTTGATTGGTGAGCGATGAAGGGATCTGCTGGCCCTGTAAGTGTGGGGACTGGGCCTGACTGGGGAGCATGTGCTGTTGGGGGCTCATAGGGTTGGGCTGAGCTGGGGATCCCATTTGCTGCTGAAGTAGCCTCTGCTGGAAAGCCTGCTGCAAACTGGCTCCTGTCTCTGCACTCATTGCCTGTGGAAGCTGGCTCATTTGTCCCATAGTTCCTTGCTGCATCTGTTGCATATGATGCTGCATCCTTTGCTGTTGCTGCTGCTGTTGCTGCTGAGCGTAACCGACACCCTGGGGCTGCTGAAACTGATTATGGTTGGCCATCCCAGGCCCCAATCCCGGACCGGCTCCTTGCTGCTGCTGCTGCTGCTGCTGCTGATGGCGCTGCTGCTCCATCATCTGCTGCCGTCTCATTAAAAGATCCCGGAATTGCGGAGACATCCCAGAGTGATTCATGTTCATCGGCTGTGCCTGAGGATTCATCCCACCCATGGCCTGCTGAGGCTGCTGCTGCTGCTGCGTCTGTTGGGGCATGCTGGGCCTTTGGACCCCGGCTTGCATGGGGTTCATATTTTGCATGGCTGGGTTTGGGTGCACCCCTCCTTGCTGCCCTTGCATGGCTGGCTGTGGTTGAAGCCCTGGCTGACCCTGTGGCATTCCAGGCTGCCCTGGCATACCTTGGGGATTCTGAGACACTGCGTACTTGGCAGCCCTCTGCTTGATGAAAGCAGCCAGTAGCTGAGGGTTGGAGTGGAGGATGTTAAGCACCTGCTGCTGCTGCATGGGGGAGCTGGGAGACCTGAGAGTCCGCAGTAAGTTTTGTAAGGCTGCCTGGGGCAGAGATGCTGGTTTTGGCTGAGGCGCCCCAGGAACCTGACCCATTCCTGGCTGAGGCGCCATGTTCATAGGCTGCCCTGGCTGGGCTACTGACATCATGGATGGTCTCTGCATTCCTGGCTGGAGCTGCTGTGGTTGGGGTAACCCACTCTGGGCCCATGGTGGCTGCTGCTGGATTCCCGCTGGCCCCATCCCTTGATCTATGTGACCGCCAGGCCCTCTAGCCATCTGAGGAGGGTTCATCCCCATTGGTGGCATCGGATTCAGTTGGGGCATCTGGTGCTGAATTGGCCTTTGGAAAATCTGAACTTGTGCCATCTGACGCTGAGTCTCTGCTGCCCGCTGGATCTGCATGGCCATTTCTACTGCAGCTGGAGGAGGACCCTGGACTGGTGGCTGAGCAGTCTGAGGTGGAGTTGGAGGAGTTATCTGGCCACCTGCTTTGCCCTGGGACACAGCACCAGGGGGCTGAGTTCTCGGCATGGTGTAGGGCGGCATAGTATTGGGAGGTGCAGGTTGGGGTTGCGAGGCAGGCTGGGGTGGTGGTTGGGGTTGTGGGGTCTGTGGTGTTGGGGGCTGCTGGCCTGTTGGAGTTGTTGGTGTGGCTGGGGTTGGTGAAGGCAATCCTTGCTGCTGACCTACCACACCGGTCCTCTGCATGCTCGCCATCCTCCTTCGGAGCATCTGGGCCTGCTGCAGACGGTGCTGAAGTTGCTGTTGGCGAAGCTTGTGTTTAATATTGAGGCAAAAGGGCACCGGGCACTTGTTCTCCTGGCAGTGCTTTGCATGGTAGCAGCAAAGAGCAATGAGTTGTTTGCAAATAGGG